ATAGAACTGGGCTTCTACAAAAACATTCCATACTTCTTTCATTCACCTATGTCTCTTATCTTCTTATTGAAGATTATTGGATGAACTTTTTAAACTGGGGCAGTTACTTTTATAGATATCTCTATTCTGCCAAAGTCTAAAGAAAAATATGCCACTGAACACTTGAGTTTTTGTTTGAAATTTTGTTTTATTTCAAGAATACTTCTCAGAGTCTGCAGTTGTGACCACTTCTTCACTTAAACTGAGACAGTACTCTCCCTCCCCTGCCACATTTCTAAAATCTTCAGAGGACAAGAGTAAAGTAACACATTTTTATTCCATTATATTTAAAATGAAGCCTTCTTTCCCCTCAATTACATTTAAATAATGTTAAGGAATCCCCAAAAGTATTATGTTGGAATTTACATTAAAATTTAATGATCTTGGTAAAATTTTTCTAATTATTAGATTTTTCTCTACTCATTATTTTTTCTTTCAAAAGTAATTACTGGGGCATAATACATTGTATAGTCAAATTTCCATCTCTGATTAAGTTTACAGTATTCTTTAGAGGTTTTAGATTTTCTGCATAACTTTAATTCTTTACCCTATAATATTTTTAGTTCCTTTGCATTTGATAATTTTGGGGGGTAATTTTGTTGGATTTCAATTTCATTATACTCAGCATTCTTCTTTTTTTGTGTGTGGCTTTATCTTTCATTCTGACATTTGTAAACATTTTTCAATATTTTGGCTGTTTACTACGAAAATTCTAATTGTAAAAACGTGTGAATAAATGAAACTTTTCTACAAAGAGTTTTCTGATGATCAAAAACAGTTTTGTAGAAGTTTCAGTTATCAGCATGGTTACATGAAAAGCTTGAGGATCAGAAAAGTTTTAGAACTTGTATGTTTTGTAGCATCTTTTAACAATGAAAAAATTACAAACGTATAATGCTGCTCTGGGTCTTTTTTTTTTTTTTTAAGTAAGTTCATGATACCACAGAATATGAGAGCTACAGGAGATATCCCTTTTTTCCCCACCCAAATCATATAGTTTCTTGCTGTATAGGTGAGGAAACTGAGGCACAGAGAATTAAGTCACTTTTAAGTCACTCAGCTCATTGATGACACATCCAGGATCAGAAGAAACCTGGATTCTTGATCACAATGGCTATCCCCTCTTTCCAGGAAACGTACATATAAACGTAATAACAGTATAATGTAAAATTCAGCTAATAAGAGAAATAAGAAATTTCCATGAATAAAAAACAAACATATTTCTAAGTATTTTAGTTGGATGAAATTCAAACACACATACAAACTCAAACAAAAATGAGAGAGAAACGGATGATAATAAACCTCGTGTACAATAAGAAAACAGGATGGTACACAATGGCTTCCATACATGTTACTTCTACAGTTCCATACATGTTAGCATTTGCCTTGTGCTAGATTTTGAGGAACATATATTATTCTGCAAACATGACTTAGGAGTCTAGGTTTATCTTCTGGGTTTTCAGAGTTTGGAAGAACAGCATTTTTGAAAAAAGCACTGCACAACTAAACCTCTGGTGTAATCCATTTTTAACTTTATTAAGTAGTATATTTAAATGAAATATCTAATATAAAAGAAACGATGAAATCCAGTCATAATGTGATAGGTTGTTGCATACATTTAAAAATTAGTTTTATATTACACGTTTGATTCAGAAGTTTCCTCCTTTGTAAAAAATGAAAATTGACAGATAAAGTTAAATTCATTTCAGATCAGTAACCTCTAATCTCAGAATCCTCCCTGGTCAGGAAATATAGTATTATTTGTAATTTTCTTTAAAATATGACACATCATACATATTATTCTGTAACCATATGTTTATAGTTCTTTTTACTTCAGTACTTCAGATATATATATCTTATTCCTTTTAACTGCTGTGTGACATTTCATAGCATGGATATGCCACATGGACTAAGCTACCCTCCCTATAATGGTCGTTTAGGTTGTTTCCTATTCAGTTTTGCTGTTGTTAACACAAGCAAAATTGTAATGAACATCTTTCTATTTCTTTTCCTGTAGTACATCCATTTTTTTAAACAGCTTTATTGAGGTATAATTTAGATGCTATATAATTTACATGTTTTAAGTGTGTAATTCAATGCTTTTTAGTAAAATTAAAGTGTTGTGCAATCATTGCAATCTAGTTTTAGAATGTTTCTATCTCCCAAAGGGATCCCTAGTGTTCATTTGCAGCTACTCTTTATATTTTGATTCCTAGCACCAGGCAATCATTAATAGATTCACTGTTAAGAAATCTTATTTTTTTTTCAAAATAAGAAATTATTAGTAATCTTCAAATGTTCCTCCAAAAATACCCACATTTTTCTAGGCACTGGAGGTTAGGAGAAAGGAGCAGGTTCTTAATTAAAGGAAGGGGAGCCACTTGTTCTCGAGGAGGAGGAAGACTGTAGTGGGCTGCAGTGGCCTAGGTAACAATACTTTTGGGAAGAAATGATGAGATAATGGATGGCCATGACCATCTTTTATGGCTTGAGAATTTGGCTTGCATTATAAAATCAGAGAAAGTCGAGAACCATATGATTTCACTTATATGTGGGATATAAAACTGAAAGCAACAAACGAACAAGACAAACAAACGAAAACTCACAGACACAGAAAAAAAAATAGTGGTTACCAGAGGGAAAGATGGGGAGGTGGAAGTAGATAAGGCTAAAGAGGGTCAAATATATGGTGATGGAAGGACATTTGACTTTGAGTGGTGAACACACATGCAATATACAGATGGTGTACTATTTAATTGTACATTTGAAACCTCTATAATTTTATTAGCCAATGTCACACTAATAAATTTAATGAAAAAAACAAATTTAGTGAAAAAAACAAAACAAAACAAAAAACTCTTGAGGTCATCTTAGAGATTCAGCCCTTTACAGATAAATCAATTGAGGCTCAACTATGTTAAAAAATATGGCCAAAGTCACAGAGATGTCCAGCCTGTAAGTGGATTCTGGAGATTATTTGCCTCTTTACTCTCCTCATTCATAGAATGATAAAAAAAAAAATGAGACTATTAACTCATACTTTTATTTTGCTATATGAGCATAATTCTTTCAAGGAGTTTTTCTACACTTGTATATTTAGTGTTTTAGGTTTACAGGACACAGAATTATGAAAAACAAGAGGACACATACTCTAAGATAGACATAATTGCAACTGCATTATCCAGAACCTATTAGATTGGCATGAGCTCTGAGATGGAAGAAATCTAAGTATAGCACAGTCTTGAAACAGCTGGAAAAATAGTTGGCTTACAGTTAGGATGACTTAGGAACAGTGCCAGAACTCTGTCTTGCAGTAGGAGTGTGAAAGAAGCGACATCATCTCTCAAAGCCTTACCTACACAGCCTTCTCCATCGGGCCTTCGGGTCATCCCAGGTGGGCAGATACACATGAAGGTGCCTATCAAATTCTTACACATCATGCCTCTAGATTCGCAGTCATGAAGTCCTTCGGCACATTCGTCCAAGTCTATAAAATATTTTTAGTAGAAAAAAATATAAAATTTACAGGAGCAGAATATTGTTTAGTACTTTTATGTCACGTTTTTGGTCTTCTGGCTCTTAAAATGTAATCATATCGTGTGACAGAAAAAAGAGGAACCTAGTCTTCTTCAACTTTTGGCTATATTCTAGATTTATAAGTCTCAGTATTGGTCTTAATGGTAAGAAGTACAGGAAAGGGCAATTTTTGCTTTAATAAGAACCCAAGAGTGTGACAATGGGTGAGCTCCACAACCCATCTTTCCTTCGACTTGACTGGACAGACCGTTAAGTGACTTGTTATCTCTGTATGGAAATCTACCAGCAAAATGCTGTCATAAACATTTCTCTAAAGCTCTAAAAGAAGACAGCTGAGGACAATAAAATCATTAAAATATATATAACCAGAATGGCGAATAAAGTTCCAACTCCTCCTTGGCCCGTGGCCTTACCTTTACACATTTTCTGGTCTTCCCTGAGGGCGTAGCCAATTGGGCACGTGCATTCATAGGACCCGAAGGTGTTCATGCAGCGGAAAGCACAGAGCAGTGGGTTCTGGGCACACTCATTGATATCTGATCAAAGAAATAGGGAGCCATGTGCTCAGCCTAGCATTCTAATTATTTGTTTCAATAAACACTGATGTATTTACTTGGCAGTCATATAGAAAGCAATGGGATACTAGAACTTCCACTTCTGGTATGGAGAACTGGGTACCTAACAAACTCATCCTCCAGGAAATTACAACTATAAATTCTAGAAATAACTAAAGTAGTTTTTAGTGGTGAGTCGAAACTTGTAAACAACCAACAAGGAATAAATTCTCAATTTTTTTCTTTTTCTGAAATTACCCTGTGGATGGCCGCAGTCCTGGAACAGTAGCAGGACCTGGCAGCTAAATCGTTAATAGAAAACTTCCCAGCTTCTGTCCAGAGGAATCGGGAGAGAAAGCCTAAGAGCAGCCCAGGCTGCTGAAAAGTGAAGGGGAACCCCGGAAAGGAGAGGGCCAGAGCTGGAAAAACACTATTACTGTTATGTTTTTTTTATATAAGGTCAGCCCAAGTTACTGACTTAAACATGCATGTGCAGGGAAAATCAAAGAAGCTAGTCACTAAGGTTTAAAAAGCAGAATTGAAATTTGAACCGTTGTCTTCCACGGGCCTGACAGTCTGCTTTTATGTTCATCCAAGTTAACTGCCTGCTAAGACAAATGCATCAACATTCTTAGAAGTAATATCACTGATTCCACAAGATATCATTCACAATATCCAGGGTATAATCCAAAATTAACCAACATGATGAGGAACCAGAAAAATGTGACCCAATCTCAAGGGAAAAGACAATCAACAGATGCCAACTCTGAGATGATCCAGATGCTAAAATTATTAGACAAGGGCTTTAAACATCTATTGTAACTATGCTCATTTAAGTCACAGAAAACATATTTGTGATAAATATAACCATAAATTGGATATCAGAACAACGTAAATAAAAGCTGAGACATGAAAAGCCTTTTCTATGTCAAGAAATGATAAGAAAATTATCACTTGCCTTCACAATTCATCATGGGTCCTGGCTCAAAGCCTTCATTGCAATTGCATTCAAAACTCCCAATAACATTGGTGCATGTACCATTTCCACACGGGTTGCCGATTGAACATTCATCAGTATCTGAAAAAGAAGAATAAGAGAATGCCACAAAATCTGGAGAAGTTTTAGTTTAACAGGAGCATACCATGAATACCCACCTGGCCCTCCCACGTTTCCAGGACCAGTGGCAGGGCACATATGACTATTGCACTCCTCTTGGCCTTGGCTGTCTGGCCTTCATGCAGTGCAGAGGACCCCGAAGGATCAAGTGTGCAATGCTCCGAGACCCAGACAGCTGTGCTTGCCCTAAAAATCACAAACCCAGAGAGGGATGTGGTTTTCTGCTACAAGAGCAGGCGTGGAAACTCGTAAAGTAAAATGGTCTCTTTTCCAGTTAGCGGTTTTGGCAACTGTAAATCGCTAGACACATCAGAGTTTGAATATTTGGTTGATGGCAGAGGCTGGGCAACTCTCTCCATCTTCACATAAACCAGGCCTACTGGAAAATGGAGGATGGGAGAAGAAAGAGCAGTTACCAGCTACTTATCTTGGCTTTGCAAATCCCACCACCACCCAGGGTGCCTGAGAGACCTTTTGCTGAATATGAGAAATAAAATAGAACTTTAAAAATGTGAAATGTAGAGGTAACACTCACCCACACAGCGAACTCCAGTGTAATCAAGGTTGTAACCCATTGGGCATTCACAGCGAAAAGATCCGTCTGTGTTTATACACTGACCATTGGAACAAATGCCTGGGCTCTCGAGACATTCATTGACATCTAAAATACAGAATTGCCCATGAACTTCCTCATATAAAAAGATACGCAAAAGCTGTGTATATCTAGTCAACAGAGACTTAAAATTTCTAAAACATATAAACATTTCTTTTACCAGAGAAATACCTATTTCACACACCACAACAGTCTTATGATAAATGCAACTCATATGATATATAATAAATATTGTATACGTACACTAAATATATACTATATATTACACAGTAAAATTAGCATGATTTATAAAATAAATGTACACTCATATATTCATATAAAAGGAGACCATACAAGTAAAATATATCAAACCACACCTTCACGGGTATCATGGAGACTAGGAACAGTTCCATGGCCATAAGGACACAAGTCCTGGAATGCAACTACGGAGAAAAAATACAAATTCCCCATTATTGATGAGTCTCAATTATCAGAGAACTTAAGAAATGAATAACAATATACTTGAATAAGACTTATTTTTCCACTACAGAGCTGTTTTAACAAATCTTTTATTTTACTTTTATGATTTGTTTTGAAAGCAGCACTGAGCATATTTAGAGAAGGTTGCCTGAGCTTGCCCAGCTCCTTCCAGGGTGCCAACTACTAAGGGGTTCTGGTTCTGTTTGCTCACTTACCACTGAGCAGCTAAAGAGCCCCTTCAGCTCATTACACACAGAAGCCATCTCTGACCTAGAGACCAAGCCAGTTTTGAGCTTGCTGGGAATTAGCTTATAATTCAGCTGTGCTAACAAGACCCAGAAGCTCTTGGTCTCTTCCAACAAATGGCTATTGTGCTGACTCAGCTTCTCAGAATTTTATATAAGATTCTGAGAGCCCCGTCAGTGATATAATACCCACGTGGGATTCCTGTAGCAATTTGGAATATAATTTTCATCCCTTTCTTGCATCTCCTGGGCCTCCCGAATTCATTCCTTTGAAAGCAAATAATACTAACCTTGGGGGAAAAAAAAGTGAAATAACAGGGTAACTATCTGTGTGTACACATGGCGAATACAGAAGTTGAAAGAAGTCCCTCAGATTAGGTTGCTCACTGAACAATGGACATTTAGATATGAGGGGATAATTTCACCCTCGAAATATTCACAAAATACGTAATCAAACCGACTTCTGATAAACATTCCCAAACTAGTACAAAGTAGTGTTTTACGTCAGTGCTCTTACCTTCATCATCTTTGGGGCACAGCTCACAGGGGTCCCCCCAGCCCTCTCCCGGCATCTTACTACAGCAGCATTTTGCCTTTGTGGTGTTGAAAGCTTTGGGTACAGAACACTTTCCATTTTCAAAGTTTGTGAAGCAGAAGCTCTGGCGAGTATCTAATCAAGAAAGCAAACATCACAGATCTCCTTACTGATCATTTAGAAAAGATGGAATAATTTGCACAGAACAGAGCAGTGTTACGTCAGTGCTCTTACCTTCATCATCTTTGGGGCACAGCTCACAGGGGTCCCCCCAGCCCTCTCCCGGCATCTTACTACAGCAGCATTTTGCCTTTGTGGTGTTGAAAGCTTTGGGTACAGAACACTTTTCATTTTCAAAGTTTGTGAAGCAGAAGCTCTGGCGAGTATCTAATCAAGAAAGCAAACATCACAGATCTCCTTACTGATCATTTAGAAAAGATGGAATAATTTGCACAGA